AGCCCATTGTGTAGCTTTGTGCTTAACTTCAAACAAACATCACACAAACATATTTATAAAAATAACCAGCAAAATAGCTTAAATAATTTAAAATATTTCTTCATGACAAAAGCATTAGCACCTTTCATTAAAAGTCTTCCAAACCCCAATATAACTAATTTGAAATTATGTTAACTGATAAAGACAATTACACAGTAATTAATGTGTATTATAGTCATTTGCAATAGAAAAGAGGTATTGATTTTCAATATCTCTTGAAGGAGAACTTTGTGGCAATAAAGCAGATGATGGTCAAGACCAGGGACGGATTAAGGTTTAGTGAGGCTCTAGACCTAAGTAATATTTGGGAATAATAATAACCCTCTCTTGCCGCTATTATGCTAGTTCTACGAACCATAAATGTTATAACTTATTTGGCCTATGCGTTTATCCAGTACTGGTCAAGACAAAGGAGTTGGATCTACCCTTCACTTACAGCAGAGTACAACAAAAATGTAATGGCGAGAGATTAATGGTCACTGACTTCAAGAAAGACTTAGAAGCATCAGGCATAACACTGCTCGAAAGAACTGAACAAAGAAAAGTTGCATGCACGTAGACCTTGCTGTAAACCACTTTTAAAGAAAATTCATAAAATAAACCTTTCTATATTTGTCAAGAAATATGAATGCGAATCTGAAGCATTCTTCCAGAAAATTTTCTGGTCCAATAAAACTAAAAAAACAAACAAACTCAAAATGGACCACAATATGTTTGGAAAAGGAAAGCCTCCAATGAAAAACACCTTACAACATGGATCTGTTTCGATCTTGATATGGAGGCGTTTTAGCAGTATGGAGAGTGTAGACATTCATGTTATTGAAGAACGAATTGATGCTGCCATGTATCAAAACATTTTACAAAGTACACTGATACCATCTGCTCGTAGGCTACTTAAGAGAAGGTTTATTTTTCAATTCTACAGTGACCCAAATCTTGCGGCTAAGAGGGCTCTCAAATTATTGAAAAAGTCCAAGATAAAAGTTTTGAAATGAACTTCATAATCCAATAAAAATGCCTTGGACTGATTTAAAATATTAGTTTAATATGTTAATTGAAAAATATGCAAATTAGAATGGGCTCAAATTTCTCCAACAAGATATAATGCGCTGGATGAAAACTATCATAAACGTTTGAAAACTGTAATAAAACCTAAAGAATATAGTCGATACAGACGAAAGACTAAAGCACGGGTGCCAATAATTTCTTTTTAAATATTTTTTTTAAATGAAATGTTTGTTAATTGTTTTAGATTATTCATTAACTTTCTTGACATTTATATTTTGTTTTATTAAAAATGATTAAAGTTCTCCAAATACTTATCCTCAGTCTGTTACATTTACATATTACTGTTTTTTTGTTAAAGATGTAGAGGTTTTTACTTGTATTTTGCCATTCCTTATAATGTTTTATCTTAGCAATGTTATTAAACATGCGTCTGCCACACGTTTTATCGTACGTTCGGTTATACTGTAACCAGTTCAATCTGTTTTATTTCTATATTTTAATTGTATCAAAAACTTCTCACTTAATAGCTGATGTTGCTTTTTGTAGTTAGAATGTTGTGAATTAACTTTTTGAAGTTGAACTGCTGATGATGGAATTTGAAAAAAAAAACTCCAAAATATCATGAAAGTTTCTGTGTTACAAGTTGAAAAATTACATTTTCTTCCCTAACGGCCTTAATCCCAACTAGTTTGGGGCCGGACGGTATTTTTACACTCAAGTGACCAGCCCAGACATCAACGATCTAGGACGAGCATGGAAATTCGTACTTGCTACCCTCATAATGCGAGTAGAGCGCTCTAACCATCAGGCCCTCCTGGGCCCACAAGTTGAAAAATCATAAGCTAACATAAAATGGGCTCTGGCAGTTTTGTAGATGTCACAGAACTGTCCTGTATTGTTTAATGATGTTTCCAGAAAATACTGATCTTCGTTTTACAAACCATCTATACAGAACAGCTTTGAACATTACAATTTTTAATGGTGGGAAAACAAGAGTTGTATGTTATCAAATGGGGAGCAATAACAACTTATAAAACTTTAATTATAAATATATGGTATAAAAAAGAAATAAATATTTTAACTATGCATGTAAAGCTGTACAACTTAAACTGAATCTAATAAACTTTTTTACCAGTTTCATGTAAGCAGATATTAGGGTGGGCCCTGTGATGTGGTAGCTTAGTCAGATCAATTTATTAAAAACGTCTTTCTGGTTTTATTATATGATTAAACAATTTTATCAATCTAACTTGGCATGGTGGTCAGGGCACTTGACTCGCAATCTGAGGGTTGCATGTTTGAATCCTAGCCTCGAGCATGCTCACCCTTTCAGCCATGTGAATGTTATAATGTGATACTAAACTCCACTATTTCTTGATAAAAATAGCCCAAGAGTTGGTGGTGAATGATGTTGACTAGCTGCCTTTCCTCTAGTCTATCACTTCAAAATTAGGGGCATCTAGAACAGATAGCCCTTGAGTAGCTTTGCCCAAACAATTTATATCACACACAACTACATAGTGTAGAAAGTTTATTACTGGAATAGTTAAAAAAAAAAGACGTTATACAAAATGAAAAATCATAAAAATAAATAGAGATTAACAACACAAAGAAGAACTAGTGTTAAAAGTAAATAGAGATTAACAACACAGAGAAGAACTAGTGTTAAAAATAGAGATTAACAGCACAGAAAAGAACTAGTGTTAAAATAAATAGAGATTAACAACACAGAGAAGAACTAGTGTTAAAATAAACAGATTAACAACACAAAGAACTAGTGTTAAAAATAAACAGATTAACAACACAGAGAAAACTAGTGTTAAAAATAAACAGAGATTAACAACAGAGAGACGAACTAGTGTGCAGTCACTCAAAACATTGTGTACTATATTTTGTGTATTGCATAACTACATACATTGTTATACTTTATGAACTTGTGTATTACTACGTGAAATATGGACATTATACAAAATAATAACTGCTGATCTGATGTAACTAACAGCAAAACTAAAAATTAACCTTGGCATCAATATAGCTAATTAATTACACCTTTCTTATGTATATATTTCTGAAAAATTAGAACGTTTTATTTCATCAGTTGGGTCCCTTGGTGTTCACGATATTTTCAGCCGTAAACTTAAGTCTCTCACGAGGTTTGACTAGTTTAGAAAATTTAGGTTAGTCCTAATCACAAATTCTGAGCTAACAAAGCAGTCTGATCAACTTTTGTAACAACCTGTGTTTAATCAGGTATATGTTCTGCTGAGCAAGCTATGTTTAGAAATAAAACTTGTGACTGTAAACTTTGACGTGGAGAACATTTCAAACACCTGAAAAATAACTTGTAGCAGCACAATTGTGTTACGTTATTGCTATAAAACATGCCACTTTAGAAGTGTATGAAAATACTTGTTAAATACAATTTACAATGAAATGTTTGGAAGGAAAAGAATGAGTTCTTTGAAATACCTGAGATACAAATACATCATATCCACATAACCAGAAAAGTGGTAGTACTTAAAATAAGGCTAAATCATTGCATTTATTGGTGAAAAAAAAACATCAGTATATTTTCCAAAAGCAAAATTCTGATTTTCTTTAAAACTGTCATGATTAAAATGTTTTTGTACATAAACAAACAGTATAAGTATAAAAAAAATTATTTTGCTTGTAATTCAGAGGAAGAATATCTCTCAGATAACTTAGTTTATCAATTTCTCCTGAAATTAAAATAGCAAATCACATCTTAAAAAGAAAAAAAATAAATTTATTTTCCTTTCAATTACAGCAGTTTATCGGAACAAATGTCTGATTGTTCAAGTTGAGTACAAAAATAAAATAAAATACAACTTAAAAGCAGAGAAACGAGTTTTTATTTATTATTATTCTCATATACTGTAGTGGTTTAACTAGCTAAGTAATATTGGAAACTTATAATTATGGCAGTATATTCATTCTCTGAGTCTTTTGGGGATAATATTGTACATTTGTTCTTTAAAATCTCATTCAAGTTCCAAATGGGACTTTTAAAAATAATTACTTAAAAACAAAGAATTAGTATGCAATGATTTTATACATAAAGCCATGAAAATAAGAGTGAAATAACAGTAGCATGTTTTGGCATTTAGGGGCAGTGCAGTATTTTCTTTGTATGTGTTTGTACTGATATATGGTAGAATATATTTTTAATAAAACAGCACAACTAGTTTAATGGATAATACCATAAATTAACCAGATATTGTTAATATTAATATAAACTAACTATACTAAACTAGTTTAGACACATCAAGTTTGTCATTATCAAGGGTAACACTCAAAGTTTGGTTTGATTTGAATTTTGTGCAAAGCTGCACCAGGGCTATCTGCACTAGCCGTCTCTAATTTAGCATTAAAAGACCAGAGGAAAGGCAGCTAGTCAACACCACCAACTCTTGGGCTAATCTTTTACCAATGAACAGTGGGACTGACCATCACATTGTAATGCCTTATGGCTGAAAGGGCAAGCATGTTTGGTGGGATGGAGATTTGACCTGCAACCCACAGACTGTGAGTTAAGCACCCTAACCACTCAAGGAAAAGTGAATCCTAAAAAAAAAACAGTTCCTGAATCAGGAGCTAGTATTTGTGATGTACATTTCATTACAAAGTCAATAACTTAGAATTCAAGTGCTTAACATTTTAAAATACAATTCTATAAACATAAATATGAGGTACTATACATATATACAAGTTAACAAAGATGTTATTATAACAAAGCTGGATAAAGGAGGAAAAAACTGATATTATAAATAAAAATATATAACGAAGCAGCTGATAAGTTATTATTATATGGTTCTTATATAAAATGTGACCCCACAGGAAAAACTATGGAACAGATTAAAGTTGAAATGAAGATTAAATATTTGTCAAGTAAAGAAAAACAAAATATTCTACCTTCCAATGTTATCCCACCAAGATTTTATTGTCTACCTAAGTTACTTAAAGAAGAATTAACTATCAGATCTATTATTTGTTTATTGAATTTTGTGCAAACCTATTCAAGAGCTATCTGCACTAGTCATCCATAATACTGAAGTGATCTAAAGAGAAGGTAGCAAATCAACACTACTTATCACTAACTCACAGGCTAATCTAACTGAGTGGTGGAATTTGACTGTTGCTTTTATTATACATCCATAACCCCATAGTGCAGAGCACAATTTATTTATTTTTTATTATAGTTTATTCAAGATGGGATTTTAAATATCTTGTTAGAAAATAACACGAAGTGTTTACTCACCAGGATGAAAAATAAATTAAAAATTGAGGAAATTGTGTAATTCCTACTTCAAATTTAGTGACAATTTTTTTTTCAAGAAAATCAAAGACTTAGCCTGGTCTTTTCCCTCTCCTATGTGATATTTGTATGGATGATTTTGAAGAAAAGTTATTTGCCAAATTAGACAAAAAACCAGATTTTCATGTTGGTGACACTTTCACAGTAATACCCAATACAAACTGGCTGAAGTAATTCCATGATCCCCTAAACTTGATTAATCCTGACATACAGTTTTCCTTTGAAAGTGAAAAACATAAGACTCATTTTTGGATGTGTTGATTACACATAATCCAGATGGTACTCTACAGGCAGAAATGTAAAGCAAACCAAATAGTGCATGTTTATTTCTTCAAAAACGGTTGAACCACACTTTTTCTCAGAAGATTGGTGTTTATAAAACATCAAATCGGCATAGGTTGAGAATGTCTGTTTAGACCAAAAAGGTATATAAGGTGCAATTATTTGAAAAATAATGCTGTAACCAGAGGATTTGAAGCTAATTTAATCAACAAGTTGTTTTTTAAAATGAACAAGTGCAAGTTACGTTTATGAAACACCTATGTCTGCATTAACATTATATTACACGATTAAATCCCTCTAATTTGATGATACAGTACCTGTTGTACAAGTTTGATTAAAATCCATCTATACAGCTTTCGAACATACTTCCACAATACTGAGGCAGAATGTATATGAACAAGTGATATTTTGACCTTTGACCCATAACCTTAAAAATTTAAATCTATAACTTTGTATGTAATACCAGTTTTATAAGTTTGGTCAAAATTCATCTATTTATTCTTTAGACATCATTGTCCACAAGATCAGGATGGATAAACAGGGGTAAACCAATATACTCCACTCTGCATCTCAGTGGAAGCTGCATACAAATGAAGATCACTGTCATTGTGAAGGAGAAGGGAAATTAGCCGTAATTATACACCTGTTTAAAATTAACCATAAAATGAACATTGGAAAAATATTTTATTGCCAGAGAAAAATACTATCATCAATGCAATAATAGAGATTGAATTATACTATATGAAAATAGAAGTAGTCTTATAAACAATGAAATGGGGTAGAACTTTTTTTAATGCGCCCATGAGATAATGAAGTTTGCAGTATAAATATGTTATCACAATAGTTGTGACTGTATTAATGTTGCCCTGGATAATGACATACTTGATGTGACAAAACTAGTTGGGCATTTTATGTCATTAACATGTATAAATTTTAACAGTGTATATTTTTGGCTTTATCTAATAAACTACTTGTGCTTCAAAAGTGGTTTTATCATCACTTAATCAGTCATCAGCACAAAGTACTCTTGAAATTTCATACAGAATATATTTTATAATGTATAGTTGTTCTAAGACTCCTTCAGAAGTTTTGAAAGATCACACAAACAGTCTCAGGTTACTGCTATTCACTGACATGCCTATGCAAAACATCCACAAAGCAAAAACTGTTGTATGTGTGGATGAATCCTTGATCTTTCTCCTTAAATCCTGTACTTCACAAACAATTAATTGCAATTATTAATGCTGGCAAAAACACACTAACACAATAGATTAAGATATGATTTTTTTAATACTATTTCACTATTATCCTTTCTGATTTATTACACTACTATCTTGAAAACAGTAAAGAATAATACAAATGTACAAGATGAAGTTAAAGGTTTGATGTAATTGACACAATGATCATAAGACCATTATGACTGTTACTTTTAAAATGTTCTTTAAAAAAAGTGCCTAGTAGCAAAACAGTTTCCAAGCATTATAAGAACTTTCATGTTAAGTGTTTGTGCTAGGACTTCTTTTACAGTTCAATAACTTTCTACTATATTACACTATAAAGGAGACCATAATAAATGGTCCAAAAGTGTACTATGACATCATTGTCTGGAAAAGATTGTAAGGGAACGCTTGTGGAATGTGAGGCCGTTCTTCTAGCCTATCATATTCCAAGTGAAACTCTTTAGCTACCTTCCTCCAGTTTGCGGCATCAAAAAAATAGTATGTTCCTCGTTCATAAGTGCCTGTTTTCTCTGCTGGTACCATGCCTGGAGCTCGTGTGATCCACACCCTCTCATCTTTGTGAAACCTCCATTCCCTGCTGTATCTATAAGAAATACATAAAAATCTCAAAAATCAACATAATCATACCCACTCCAAATTTTTTGTTTACTGTACAATAATTTATAAAACCTATAAACACAATTCAGTGTTCTAAACTATCACTTCTGATGCAAATGATACTTTCCAAGTGTTAGTTATTCATTTTTTAGCATATTAAAGGTGGTGTTAACTATCATATATTTATTTTTTAATTTATTAAGGCGGTTCTATTACTTAACCAAGTTTATAACTTAATGTGATTATAACTTTTAGTTGTCCAAATTTATGACATATCAAACAGAATTTAATGTCAGTTCACTAAGAATAAAACACTAACTACCTACCTGAGTTCATGATTTAACAAGGTAACTCTAATTGCCAATTATCCATAAGACAAGCCTAGTATTTTATGGCAAAATTAATTACCTTGAAACTATCAATCTTATCAAGATTTCTTAAATAATGAAAATCTTTACATTTTTATTTAGCCCACATAATATTCAACCCAGTAATGACTAACACCTTGCTTACAATAGGGATGTATTTGGTAAGCCTGCTATTCCTATTCCCAGGGATCAGATGGACATACTTTGATAACGGTGTTTCACACTGAATACAATGCTGTATGGTTTGTATAGCCTTTTTTTCAATAAAATAAATAATAAATAAATCAAATAAAAGTTTTGATATTTTGTAAAATATTCCAATTTTACCTCATTCCTAGGAATATAAAATGCATGGTTATGAAAGGAATAAATAAAAATTCAATGATCTATATAACCAAGCAAATAAATTATTAGAACCCAAAGCAGTCTAGGAGTTATAACCAATGAAAGAATTAGCCAATAACTGACCACAAATATTCACAACAATGACTGTTGAACTGCTCTGTCCATGAGAGGTAAATATGGATTATTTTTCTGATACTAATGTGAAAAATGCTGACAAAATTACCTAAAATTTACATGTTCATTTAAGATACTTATTACCAAATGATACTACAACAACTTGGGGTCTATGTATAATAATTGCTAAGTATGAAAAAAAAAACACAATTCACTAAAGACTTAAATGTAAGTTACTATGCTACAGATCACACATAGGTTGTTAGATAACACATAATGATGTAGTATTATGTGTTATCTTAATGATACAAAAGTCATGCACTATTATGGTTTTTATTAAGATCTGCTCTTACAACTGTTTGCAATATACACTGTTGATATTATGGCATAATATAATAATGTGAATATTTGCTCACTTGTAGGGTAATAACATTCTAAACAATCTGTATAACAAAAAGAGAGAGAAAGTTAATGAAACACAAGTGTGACTTTTTGTATCACCCTGTACACTAAGGTTGCTAGATACTGTATAATATCATGGTATACTTTTTTTAAGTTGAACAACTCACAGTCAGCAAGTATCACATTTTTAATGCTAGGAATCAAAAGCTATTGTGAATTTTCCTAAAAACAAGTTAAACAAAATACAGATTTTAAAGTGTCACGATATTCTAGGAATTCTTTAATATATAAATAAATTCAAGTTGTTAGGTACATATAAATGACTAGAAATTACATTTCCCAAGTTACTGTTTTTACAAAGAAGTCAAACAAGTTATAGTTACACATCTTTACCTGTAGTTCTTTTAGAAGCTGAACAAAGTATAAATAGGCAACACTGTTGTAGGGGTTTATTTTAGATTTAGAGAAAGTGCGATTAGATATACTAAACGTTATTGTAATTTGTTTAAGATATTAAGCAAATCCTAATTAGATATCACAAGTTATAATAGCTTTTATTATAAGTTGAAAAACTTACAATTCTGCTGCTGCTGACAATTGTAGAATGTCTCCACTAAACATGTAGAACAAAAAAAACAAGAGGTCTTCCCCATATCGATTTAGTTTGATAGAAGCTAGTTTATCTCGAATGTTCTGATTGATCAAGTACTCAGAAGGGACATGATAATCTGTACAGATGAAATTTACAGAGAGAGAAAAACTAGTCAAAAATGCATCAGCTGAAGAAGTGCATAAACTAACTTTTGTATTTCTGTAAATATAACTAATAAATTTTCATAGTGTTTCAAATGCATATAGAAGATAAGTCTTTGGTCTAGTTGTAATAAATACTATTTTGATGTTTTACCATCTAAACTAAATTGCACAATTAATGCCGAACTGTACAAGAACTTGTAAAAATAATAATTTTGAACAACTGAATTTATGCATTAACTAGTGTAACAACAAACCTTATAAGACTTACTTCCTTTCTTCACAACTACTATAATAGAAGTACAGTGGAACCTCACTATAACATATTAGTAGGGATCCATGACAGGGGACTGCATTATAAATGCCCTGTCAAACCATCACATACGGTGGGCCCACGACACTTTCATCCACATCCCATTCAACCCCCAAACTGTAGAAACCATGAATAAACGACACAACAAACAAGACAACTTTTTCAGATTTGAATAAAAATTATATTTTATTAAGAAAATGTGAAAATAATACATCCACATGATTTTTTTTCAAGTATTGTCACAGATCATAAGGGCCATGAAGATGACAGTATTATTGAAATTGTACAAGTACTGATGTTTTAAACTAGTTTGGATGCCTCATTTATAGGGAGGTATGCAGCAATCCATTAGAATAACTACATTTCATTGGTTAACATCCTTAATTAATTAAGATAGAGAAATTTCATTGGTCAGTTACTAACTTATTGTAACTCTCAATTCACACTGATTAATTAACTTTAGCTAAAACTGGAATTTTGGAGTCTATGAGAGATCTTCGTTATACCAAGACTCACACTATAGGCATTTACGTTATAGCAAGGCTCCACTGTAATGTGATTTTAACAAAAAGTTAAGAAACTATATATTTATACGAATTTAACACATAAAGCTAAAAATTGAAAAATTCTGAATGACCTACTTTTGTTGTAACTTTATTCATTACAGAAAACTTTGACCTGACAGTTCCATTTTCACAAAAGAAATTGAAAGTGAAATACTTCATTCCTTTTATAAAAATAAACTGGGAAGTCTGAATTCATTCAATTCAATTAACAACTTTCTTGCCTTTTATATTTTCACCTAAAATAACTTTATAAATAAAATTCAGGATCTAATAAAAATCTGGAAAAATAATTTTGGAACATGTAACAGAACTACCAGTGTATAGATACCTAAGGGTGTATCTTGATAAAAAAAAATTAAGCAGTGCTTTATAAAACATGATATATAACTAACTAAACAAACAAACAGTTTTTACCAATGTCTTGTGGCCTACATGGTTGTTCTGCCCAGGGCCCACCAAAGTTGGAGTAAAGTTTTCTGAAACAAGAGAATGTTATTTGTTTGTTTTTTCAACTGGAAAGTTTAGTAAGTTAGAAGCATTTGCAATAAATTTTGTTATTTAACATGGTATAATTTGATAATAAAATTCCAGTATATAACAAAATGAACTACATCCAACAATAAGACAGGATATAAGAAGGAAAGAAATGCACAAAAACATATCTAGAAAAGATAAGTTCATAAAGAAATAGGAAAAAGTGACATATCTAAGCTTTGATGAGAAATATGCCATATTACTAAGCACAATTAAATTACCTTATCAATACTGAAGTGACCAAGACAGAGCACAAAGAAACACCAATCCCTTGTCTCTTATTACAAGGAAGCTACTTTCCCACCAAAAGAATAGTGTATCTTTGCCAATACAAAGAAACATTACTAAAAATATTTTTATAGTATGTTTGTTTTGGATATTCATACAAAGTTACCTGGCCATCCTTAACTTTGAACTGATAAAACTAGGTTGAAGGCAGCTAGTCAAATGAATAGTGGAACTTGACTGTCACTCTTAAAATTTACCTATGGTCCCAAAGTATGGAGCTTGGTATACTTTGTTTCTGTTAACCATGGGCTCTTGGATTCACGTTCTGGCACATTAACTAATAGGCCATGCAAGACCTAATTATTCCAGAAACATAAGGCCTACATAAACATCGATATTTTAAAGTGGTGAATTATGTTAAGAAAAATTGTAAATGTACGACTAAAATTTCATTCATACTAGAAAAACGTTAAAACTTGGAACTAGAGGATCATCTGCATTAATTTTTTTTATGGGAAATGAGGTTTTAATTGGATAAGTTAACACTGGGGCAACAAGACCATTTTAATGACTGGAATAACTTTACACAGCTATTAGTCCACTTTAGTTAATGCAAAAAATAATGCCTTTGTACTTAAAAATTGGCTACAAAATGTCTATGAACTAAACCTGAGAAAGACTCATACTTGTCTTTTGTTGTAGGTTCAGGCCAGTCTACCACTGCCATATTTTAGCATGATCTCTTAGACACTCTGTCCCTCTTTACTATATGTCCAAGAAATTCTACATGCATCCACATAAAAGAACATTTTCCCAGCTTCAGTTTCAGACATGCCTGATGCAAACATTGAAATACAATATTTAGATTTTCAGCTGCAGCCTGAAATGTGCGACCAAACACCAAAATATTTTTGACATTAGACATGGTTCGTACTGCAAATGATATAATGTGAGTTCCATCATTCGCTCAGAAGCAATACAGAGGCAAATGGCATATCATAAAATTCATACAAGCCTTCTGAAGTGCCAAAAGCAGCCTTGGTTCTGTTTCATCATCTAGCTTGACTTGCCAACAAGCAGAGGCAAAATCCAGTGAAGTAAACCAGCAGAATCCTTCCAATACGTCAACACATCCATCTACACAACAACAGAAATGCATCAACATGCGTTACTGCATTCACCTGACTGAAGTCAACGCAGAACCTTGGTGTACCTCTTTCCTTCTGTATGATTACTACTGGTGATAACCATGCACTCCTTGAAAGTTGAATGATTCCATCTTTCAACATCTGATCTATCTGAAGCTTAGTTATATTCCTGGTGCTCCAAGGAAGCCTGACAGTTGCTTTATTGGGCATGTTTCTCTGGTATCTATATGATGATGGCAATGATTGTTCTTACCAGCTGACTGCTTGTTCTGCCAAATTATCAGTAAAAAAATCAAAACCTAGCAAGTTTTATCTGCTTATCTTAACTTAGATAGCCCGCACAATCTCCAATCAGCATCTCAGAAGAACAAGCAATAGTGTATTTGTTTGCTGCATTAGTGTGCAAAGTAACACCAAGCTATACCACTAGTTTCAGTTATTTCTATTTCATGTACCATACCCATTATTGATCCAGCTAGTACACCTACTGCATGTTCCCTATATTAAAAGTCATAAATAGATAATATTTTGGTCTTGGAGATACAAGTGTTTGAGCAGGCATGTATAGGTTTTAAGCAAGAAAACTAAGTTTTAAGCTTCACTTCGAACACAGTGTTAGCTGGTGGTGCAACCTGAGATTATTTTCATAGTTCAACACAAAACACCACTTGTGCATTACAAAGAATTACAATGGTAATGTCTATATACATTCACATAGTCCACAGTTCTTATGCATATTTTGGATGATATTTCACCTGGTATACAGGCTATATTAGCAAATGACATCTGAAAGAAATCTAAACTTAAAATATCAATATTTGAGCTAAGATTGGTTTCTACTATTTTTGCATGCCTGGTGATGCCACCAATCATGATACATAATCAAGCTACTCCATTCACTGTAAGCTGTTCATCATTTGGAAGGAAGAGGTGTTTGCACTAGTGACTGATACACCCAAGATCAATTACAGATTTAGTAGCTATTGTATCAACTAAAAGCTCTACCTCCTGTCCAGATAATTTCACAGGCACATACAGAGTCACTCTTGGCTTTGTAGACATTATACTAAGAACCACAACTGAAGAAACAAATAGATAGCTATTTTCTCCCAGATCAGTGGCCAAAAACCTAGATCTGAAAATATTTATAACCTGTCTTCTAACCTGAGCCTGTTGTTGACATATCAAACTATTCCTTTGAGTTCCAGTGTAGGCAAAGTAAATGACACTTATAGAAGAATTGTTCAAACTGTACATATTTATAAAAGACACTTGTTGTGTCTCACTCTGGCTCAAAATGCCTTTCAATCCACATCATCAGCACATTAGGTTTGTGATACCCTGCATCTCAGCTGGTAGCAACTCCGGTTAATCACCTGTTAATGCAGATTTACTTCACTCCAACAATTTGGACAAGGTTGCTATTTCATTCCTCACTGCCAAAAACAAAGCTTCAATTACAGACATCTTTAACACCAGACTCAAAAGAGGGTTCCCTCCATAAAATTTGTAAATTCTGTTGCCACCATACTGTGGTATGCTTTAAAGTGCAAATGTCACATCTCATTGGCATATGCAGCCAACTTTTTTGGGTACCATTTTCATCAGCATTGAATTCTACCTGTTAGATTGTTCATTCCTTTATTGGATCAAATCTCTGATACAGCTATGTGACAATAGCTACCCAGATGCACAGTTGGTCAGACTCCAGGTATTCCACAGCATCTAGTAAAGGGCCATTCAAACAAAGCACCAGACACTGCATCATTTGTTCCTGGGTGCAGAAATTCTATGTGCTATACCACTTACAAAAGCAATCTAAATCTTCCTTTATGAAACTATTAAATTTGAAAGTAAAATGTATTTCCCTTCGTTACTTCCTTTCAGTTGTAGCAAGGGCAACTTGCAAATGTACATATCATTCCACACAAACTGTAGAGCCAGTATTTGCACAGGCATCAGCTCCTCTTTAGTGGCTTAAGTTCTCACATTCCACCAAATATTTAATTCTTGATCATGGTTGCTTGTGTGATATATTTTCACAGCAATGGTGTTTTTACCCAAATATCAAAAATTAATTTGAGGTTGGAATAGTGTCAAAACTTCCATCATAATGACAGGGCTCCCAGCTTATCCAGCATATGTCATATTCTGGCTGTCATGACAGATCATGTACATTTCATGATGGCATGGTCCGTCCACAATGACTCATTTCTGCCACTTCCGAGGGGGGTTATTCAACAAGTTGCATCAACAGATTTGGATATCAAGCTCCATGGTTCACTGTACAAGCTATTCCAATTGGTTTCAATGAGCCACAGTTGGCAACCCCTTCTTGACAGCTTCCTACCTGTATCTTTGAATTTGGCTGATCTGCTCAAGAATGACTCACATGATCAGTGGTAGATGATGGACCAGGCTGTAGTTCAGCTATCTTGAAGAGTGGATAGCATATTAAGATCTAGAACACCAACTGAAGAATTAGGAAGCACTCAGCATTCAAAAAAGAACTTTTCCAGGTTAATACAGATTCCTCTGTTTTCATCATCAGGTCAACTTGGCTTTTCTCCTCTCTGTTAATGTTCCTGCCAGAATGCAGAGGAATCTCTTGGATTATATCTCATTAAAAGCATTGGAGAAAAACATAATTTGGAGTAATTAAAGACACAAATCACTACCCTTACAGCAATAACTAAATCCTTGTCACCAATCTCAGCATTTTATAGATCAAGATTATCTCTGGTACTTTAAGCATACACCTTTTACACAGCCTACTGATCTTCATAAAAACTAGAGGTTCCATAATTCAAGGATAAGTGCAGTAGATTGAAAGAGACAAAAGGCAGTACTAAAGTCTGAGTAAAATAAAATACTATTTGCTAAAGATCCAATGGGCAATAAAGGAATGGTTGATGTGAAGAAAATAAAGAAACGAAACAATCTCTATTTAAATGAAAAAAAAACAAAAAAAAACAGAACTTGAAAATGAACTGAAGATAAAATAAAGTGTACAAACAGAAAATGGAAAAGGCAAGGTTTATTCATCATCAATGAGCCTTGATGTTTCAAATGCAGAAGTTATAGTTTTCCTATACTGAAATTATATTTCCAATAGGTACTTACCCTCTCTCACATAAATAGTTATTCTCATTCAGTGCTGCCCTCTATATGCAAAAATTCTTATACATGCCACAAGCCTTGCGCTCCCATATACATCAACGTTGTTCCACTGCGTCTTGCATGTAAATCATCATGTGACAACCCTCCACCAACAGGAGTGTGAAATGTGACTCCTATTCAATTCTACCCAAAATATCACTTTGAGTTTTGGTAGAAAATGGAAGCAGCAGTTTTCAATGGGTGGGAAGGGTGAGAGAAATTAAGCACCTATCGGAAATACATTTTCAGTACAGGAAAATTATAACTTCCGATACAGTACATTACCTCTTTTCACATAAATAGGCAAATAGGTGGAGGGACGGTTGCAAGGGAAAGAAAGAAGCATCCAAAGGACACCCCAGTAGTACAGGATCATACATGGGAGACCGCACCACTTCTGTACCAGGTATACTCCATACCTAATATGAAAAGAGGTGATGCAGACATGGGTGGAAAAAGGGAGGAGCACATCCAAGAGGGAGAGAACAATGGTTGGACAGGGATCTGTAGCAAGGGAAAGAAAGAAGCATCCTTCAAAAGTATCCAAAGGACACCCCAGTAATAGAGGAAAGAGGTGATGCAGACATGAGTGG